ATAGCCGAAAGAAATTACAGCAAATAAAAAGCCTACTAGGTAAATCTTAATTTTCGCTTCAATTCATTGTATATAAAATCAGATTTAATGAATATTTTACATTGTAATAATCATTAAACTATGAATGAATAGATTACCATTTTGTATTTTCTTTTGATTGAGATCATGAATCAATTGATGTTAGAACATCATTGAAAACCTGAAAGCACTGGACTTCCGTTTCGTCCTATTGTGGAACTCTTCAGTATTGCTCATCCACGATCTCGCTTGCGGGATTCGAACCCAGGGTCTTCAGTCTTGCGCTCGCCAACGTTTAACCTACTGAACCATTGAGCCATCTAGTGCTTCCAGGTTTTCAATGGTGGCCTAACATCAATCGCTTCATGATCTCAATCGAAAAATCAACCATTTTCACAACCTGTAAATTGACATTTTGTATTTCATTGCTTTTTAATAAACATAGTCATCAAAGTGCATCAAAATGGTATTAATAATAATAACAATCAATAACTGTTATATCCAAATGAGAATAATGAATAGTAACTGTTGGAATCTATTTCTGGACTAATACACTACACATAATTTTATTGTATGGTCGTTATGTAACTAAACGATCTGGATATTCGTCTTCCTCTTATCACAATCTTTATTTTGACCCATAGACTATTACTATACGATTTACCATTCTTAAGTTATACCCAGCCTATCAATCACTATCTATCACATTCACAGTCACTTTTGAACTAGGTGCTATACAAATGTTGTTTTCTATTTTATGATGTGATGTGGTCTATTTGGTTAGTATATAAACCCAATATGTTTGAAATAGATGATTGATATCGCAGAGGCTGAGATTGATATTCTGGATTCAACAGGCAGGCAAGACTAGCCAGGAAGTTGGACCGATTAGGACTCTAGACTGCTTGTATGTGTTTTATGTGTCATTCATCCGATCGACAAATCATTGTTCTCCAACTGGCGTTATCAGTACGTCATATATATTGATAAGGGTATAAGACCATAAGTTATAACCATAACAAACTGGATAAATGACTACGTTTAACAAAATTAACAAACAATTTTATATGGGAATTTCATATACGAAGTAGTAAATTAGTTTCTTTATGAATCATTATCTTTATTTTAATCAAGAAAATTAGTTCACTTAGTGTTGTTTTACTTGAATCTTCCCATTGATGTTTAAGACTGAAATTGATCAATCTCTTACTGGTATATACGCTTATACTGTGCCATATTGCCTCGATATTGTCTTAATTCTCAAGCATTATAAGCATGGATAGATAGTGGTTAGCAGTGGTAGTTAAGTAGATAACATGATGGCGTTGGAAGCGAACGGTACTGAGTTCGAGTCCCGGAGTGAACATCAACTGTGAGATGCGAGTACATCTGGCTGACGAGTCCCAAATAGGACGAAATGCACATCGTGTATTCCACTGCTAGCCACTATCCATCATTGCTTACAAGAAAATTAATGTTTTTTTCTTAAACATTGTAAATTCTGAGTACATAGTAATGCGTCTAAGGTAATGTTGATGGTAAATAATTTGTTAAACAAGTATCATCATTTATTCTTTTAACAATATAGATCAGAATTGATAACTTATCCAATGATAAATGATGCAACATCCGTATGATGAATCCAGGAGAGATAGTCGAAATGCGTCTCTTGGATTATACTGTTGCCTGAAATGTATCTATTCTATAAAAAACTTTTGTGTCAGTTTGTCCGTTATCATACAACTACCAACGATATGGCATATTTTCTTTGCTTTTGATGAAACTAAATTTCGACTACTAAGCTGGTACATAAGTCATTTGATCTGTCTGAGAGCTGAGATACTACCCAAATGACTAGATCGAATCAGGCGGTTTTAATAAGGAGCCTCACTCCGAACCTTTGACCTAAAGGTCTGATCCACAAGTCAGTGGAGCAATGTAAGGAGATGCAGTCCCATGGTAGCTGGTGATCAACAATAGGTTCATACGCCATTTGTTCTCTAAGGATACTGGAGTCCATGTTCACCATTAGTTTGTAATCAGACTTTCCAACTCCCTTAGGTGGATCCTCTATATCGACCAACCCGGTTGATGCACCGGAATTCGCTATTCGTCCCCTCAATTTGGTAAAAGACAGCGGTGTCCCGAGAAGGTAGCAAGTAGGACTTCTCTGGCAGTGGCAGTATACGCATGCCTATGTGAGAACATTTCGAGAGGGAGAGCTGAATCTATCCAATCTCGGCCGTACCAGGGCATTTGGGGGGTGGATAATGATGTTCGTTTATCTGATTCACGAGTTATATCATTAAGTTTGGTTGACTGACACAACTTAGTCAGATCTGAAAGTTACTGACAATTTAATTAAATATGAGAAGTTAAAATTTTTGAATGGGAACCAGTTTTCTTAGATTTACAAATATATCCCTATGATTCTTAATTCTAACACAAATATAAATCAAAAATTCATTGAGTTTTTCAAAGTTACCTATAAAAGTACATTGAATAACTTAAACATAAATATCAAGATTTTCACTTTAAAATGTAGTGAATCGAAAAAAGCTAATGTTTATACAACATATGCTCATTATTGACTGACTTCAAAAGGTATTTCCTGGAGTTCTAGTGAGAAGCAGTGGCCAGTGGAGTTCAACCGGGTCAGTTGTAAGATAGTAACTCACTGATGGATGTGTTACTTAATTTCTTGGATTAGTTGAAGTTAGACATTAGCACCGTTGGATACCGGCTAGCTCAGTGATCTATTGGTTAAACGCTCGCGCGTGAGACTGATAGGTCCTGGGTTCGAGTCTCGCGAAGCGACATCGTGGATGCGCGTTGCTAAGGAGTCCCGAAGTCGGATGAAACGGCCGTATAGTGCTTTCAGGTTTTCCATGGTGGTCTAGCTCCAATTGACTCATGATCTCAACCATTAACATTACTATAATATCCACATAACCCTTCTGATATGATTATTCTTTTACTTGAGCATTCGATCAGGACTAAAGACTGAACAAACTTTGCATTACTCATTATACAATGGTTAATTAATCATCAATATCTTAGTCCTGAAGGAATTTAATTATGGTCCTAATAACATTTCACAAATAAAAATCACACACGGAATACCAGTCCTTCAAGACTGGAGATGTGGCTTACTGATTATTATTAGTATTATAAGCTTCATTCAATATTATATTCTTCGTACAATTTAGAATTCTCAGCACAAAGTATTTCAGCGGGTTTGCTTTTCTTATTTCTTTATGGATTCTGACGATACCATATTGAGTGATCACCAATTAGATGTTAACAGTTCAGGAATTGATATATGATTAATTTACATTCTTTTCGATGTAAATTGCCAGCAACCACAATGTCTCTGTGATTTTGATCTTTCTTAATTTGTACACTGAAATGTCGTCAACTTTTCACAAACGCACCTGAATAGGTTAGGCGACTAAAACAAACAAGATATCAGATAACTTGTTTAAATATCCAAATACATGGTAGAAACAAGTAGCCCAGATATTGAACCAAGCCACCTTGATAATACGGACGAGTGTGGTAAACATTAGGAAACCTTAATCAATCAGGATTTCCTTTAGACTACCTTCTATTATTTAATATAATAACATTAAATGACTTAATCATGTCAAACTATCTTTGTTCTTTTCTACATTCAATTCATTTTGATCATAATCTACATTGAACATATTCACTAATCTTAATTTCACTTTTCATTTTTCAACTATGGTGAAATCTTCAATTTGAATGATCGATTATTTCGGAGGGACGAAGGAGAGGCGATGGCAACTAACCATCTCATCTACTTACAAATTAGACTTAATATTAAGAATAGAATATAAAAAATGTTTGGGTAATATTAAGTTAATTTCCACCTAGTCATTATAAATAAACATCCCTATTTTGTATTCACTTGTTAATGTTTTAGTTGTATCTTCCCATTGATGTTTTAGGACTGCAATTGACCAGTCTCATGTTGGTATATATGCATCCTGTGCGGATTGCCTCGATATAGCTTTAAGTCACAAGGTTTTTTAAGCAAAGATGGATAATGGCTATTAGTGAAATCCATTTTGAAGTGCGTTTCGTCCTACTTGGAACTCGTCAACTGAATGTACCTGCATCACAAACTTGTTGATGTCCAATCCGGGACTCGAAACTCATTGCACAAGCAGATGGCTAATAGGACTCATTAGCCAAATAGATAATACGATGACGTTTGAAGTTAACAGTACTAAGTTCGAGTCCCAGAGTGAACATCAACAAGTCTGTGATGCAGACACATTCAGCTGATGAATCCCAAATAGGACGAAACGCGCTTCAAACTAGATTCCATCTTTGCTTTCACAAAAATCCCTATTTTATTTTCAGAAAAAAGTCAAATTCCATGTCAATAATTTGTGGGTTTTCCTTTTTCCTTTTTTTTTAGTAAAAGTTTTTTTTTCGTTTGGATTATAAATAATCACAATCAATTATGTAAATAGATATGAACCATTGACCTTGAAGGTCACACTTGATGTTGATTGGCTGAAATTCTGATTGGTTGATTTTAATGACCAATCAAAATCAAATGGAATAATAGTATTTAAATATGACCATTCAATTGGGGGAGGTGGTGGGCAGGTTATTTTTTTGTTGTTGTTACTGCAAAACTACATGAAATATTACGCAATCATAGTAATCTTGATTCATTCATGGAAATAAACTTTGCTATTTAACAATTTACATTTAATATAATCAATTACAAATTCATTTAGGGATATGGATTGTATTCAATAACATTAAAACATAAATCTATCTACTATTATTTAATTCAGTTAGTAACAACTTATTTATACATACATCATCATCATCATCATCGGCATCAGCAACACCGGCATCAGCAACACCAATAGCAACAATTAATTGAAGATAGAAGTTGATATTTTCTGAAGTTCTAGAAAAAAGAAAATCTTCAAATAATAATGTCAATTAAAACAAATCATCCACAGATTATCTTATATTGGATGGAATTGGTTAGTTTACATTCTATTTACTTTGTTTTGTTTTTTGCTAGTTGTGGTAGTAGTGGTGGTGGTGGTGGGGAGATATACAAAACAGTACTTCAAGATTAGTAGAAACTATCAATGTGGGTTTTTTTGGGGGGGTGGTGGAAATTTTACTTTATTGGATACACAAGTTCTCTAATCCTACAATTTTCCTTAGAACTTTACTATTGGGATAAGAAAGTTCTATTCTAAGAAATCAGTTAGACTGATTTCTGTTTACCTAATTATGTACATAATGATTGTAAGGAAACTATGATGGAGAAGATTTGTAACTCAGGTAGATGATTTTAATGAAGTTTTATTCTATGAGTTGGATGGTTTGATTGTGAAGTTTTTATTGTTCTTCTGAACAATATCATCAGCATAACATTGAGGTTTACAGAACAAATTATGAGTCATATATGGAGAAATTTGAACATTTCAATTTTATTTGAAGTTTGTGGTGATGATGTCGTTTAGAAGAACGATGAAAGTTCAAAATGATCAAATCATCCAGCTCACAGAAGAAAACTCCATCAAGGAAACCTGTATGCATAACTATAACTGGCTGTGTACTATAATGTCTTCCTTTGAGGAAATAGTCGAACTGATAATCTCTTCCCGTCGCACAATAATACATAAGGTATATTTTTAAGAAAGAATGGGTAATGATTAGCGGTGGGATCCAGGATGCGCTTTTCGTTCTATTTAAGACTCGTCAGCTGGAAGTACGTGTATTTCAAAGTTGAAGTTCACTCTGGGATTCAGATCAAGTGTAGTAAACGAGGATACAAGTGAGGAAAATCGAATGAATTTGAAAGTGGAATTACAATGTCTTAGTCAAACCTGAGAAACATACAGTAAATACTTCATTTGCAAAATATCAATCAGTTGCCTCAAAATTGACTGTTCCTTTTTCAAATATCAGTCAATCGTCTCGCACTTCAATATTCCTGCTTTTTCATACTATTTGCTTACTGTTCCCCTTCTTTCCATCTCAATCTTCTGCTACCAGAAATTCTATTCTTGACTATCATTATCTACTACTCATGTTGATATTAGTGGCACATACCACACGTCCCCCCCTTTAAAGTAGCCGTTCGTACGGTGGTTCTACTCACCGTGCTACTTTCTTCTTTTCTTCAGTTTGTGCCATATTTTCCATTAAAATGTCGAGTTTGCAGCGCGCTGACCTCCATAGCTCCATCGACTTGCTGGGCCATCTACACCCAATGGGTATAGAATATTCATTAAAATCCTACGTAGTTTTATATATGTCAATTATTATTCATAATAATAGAAAATGTTTAAGTGATTATATTTAAATGACATTCTAATTTACATAAAATAGGTGATCAAGCGATCAGATATATCTCATGAAGAGTTCAGACGAATCAAGTTTTATCTGAGGTTGAGGAGAGTTCACTCTACTTCTAGAAATACTCTTTACATGACCACATACATGCAACCATTCCCAAGGATGTCCTACTCACTTCCTTCTTGTCAAGAGGATGTGTTGTATACGAAATCGAGAGGACAGAGAAACGAATGTCTGTCGCTTTAACCGGGTCAGCGAACACGGAGAGTTCACCTAGTTTAGTTGGAAAACCCTGATTACAAACCAATGATGAACATGAGCTCTAATATCCTTAAGGAACAAATGACATATGAACCTATTGTTGGTCACCGACTACCATAGGACTGTATTTCCTTACATTGCTCCACTGACTTGTGGATCAGACCTTTAGGTCAAAGGTTCGGAGTGAGGCTCCTTAATAAAACCGCCTGATTCGATCTGGGCATTTGGGCAGTATCTCAGCCCTCACACAGATCAAATGACTTATGTGGCACATATCCATTTGGTGCCTCTTTTACCAATGTTTGTGTGTTGTACAGAGGTACAAGAGTCTACAGAATATTGGGTTCCATAAAATCTTTTTCAGACTAACTGTTTAAATGATACAATCTCTTCTTTACATATATTACAACAAGCTATGAATCATTTACATTCAATTACTGAATAATTTGATGAGCAAGTTTCCAGTCAGTCAGTCAGTCAGTCAGTCAGTTACAACATAGGACCAGGCACATATATGCACCAGTCCAAGTTGCCATACCTCATTAACACAACAAGATGAACACCAGATTCATAGAAGTACTTAATTCAATGGTGGTACTATATAAAAGAAAAATTGTATATAAGGATATAGTACAAGAAGAGAGATATGAAGCAATTCTAAGAGATGACAGAGAGTGTATACATCGACGCCATTATGATTGATTCTGAACCACCATCTATTGTAATAATATTCATTATCATTTAACAATTAATTTATGAAATTTTTCTCCCTTATTTTTGTTAAATCAAATGAAGATACTTTTTTTAAGTCTTGATTATTGCGCCTTTCTCTTGTTCAATGTTTCAATAGGTATATCTATCTACTACTTACTTACTTACTTACGCCTGTTACTCGCGATAGAGTAGAGGCTGACGACCTGAATTCACCAATCCATTGTCATAAGCCTTCCCTTCTAGTTTTATCCAATTGTTGTTTATTCTTCTCATGTCTGTCACCATTTCTTTGTGTTATGTGTTCTTTGTTCTTCCTCTTCTTCTATGGTGTTGAGGATTCCAAGCGAAGGCTTGCCTTGTGACACAGTTGGATGCTTTCTTAAATATATATGTCTTATCCACTTCCAACGTTTCTTCGTCTTGATTTCTATCTCCATTGTAATCTGGTTTATTCTCTTCTACAATAGGTTGTTGCTGATAATGTCTAGTCAATAGATTCGAAGTACTTTCTTTTGTTGTTGTTGTTGTTGTTGTTGTGGACAACTATTCATAACTACTTGTATCTTTTGGATAATTGACTTTCATAGTTCTCTAAGCTTTCATCCTATACAATAGAACTATCTATCTATCTATCTATATCTATATGAAGTTATTCCTATAGAATGAATTGTCAATCATATTTGTATAAAAATTCTATCTGATTAATGAAATTGAATAGAGAAACACAATACAATTGGGTGTATCCATAATCTTCGAATGATATTCCTGTTTAGTTGATTATCTATATTCAATGAATAGTTAATATATTTATATTCATAGTTACTTTGGTTACCTAGAAAGAGTATCCGCTTTGTGATTTATGAAAGAATTCCATTTCTCTTATGTAATGTCATAATTCTATTCAATGAGTTCAGCTAATTATTATATGATTGATTCACGAATCGAAATATTTATATCAAACTAATGATATTCAATTGATATGTGTAGCCTTGAATCATTATTGATTTTTTGTTCTCTTAACCCTTCTTCTAGTTGAGTCTAGAACATGAATACCAGCTTTTATTATCACTTACTTACTTACACCTGTTACTCCTTGTAAAGGAGCATAGGCCGCTGCTCACCAGCATTCTCAATCTAACCCTGTACTGGGCAGTCCTTTCCAGCTCTTTCCACTTGTTATTTATCATTTTCATATCTGATTCTATTTCTTGACGTAATGTGTTATTTGCCTTTCCTCTTTCCCGTTTCCTATCAGGATTTCAAGTTAGGGCTTGCCTCGTGATGCAGTTTGATGATTTGTGTATTGTATGTTCTATCCATTTCCATCGTCTTTTCCGAATTTCCTCTTCACCTGGAATCTGGTTTTTTCTCTCTCAAAGAAGGCTGTTACTGATGGTATCCGATCAATGGATGTTGAGTATATTGAATGGACAGCTATTTATAAATGCTGGCACCATCTTGATGATAGTTGTAGTAGTTCTCCAAGTTTCAGCTCCATACAGTAGAGCTGTCTTGACTTTCGTATCGGAGATTGTGACCTTGATATTGGTTGAGAGACAGTTGTTTTGAGTTCGATATGTTGTTCAATTGTAGGAATGCGACCCTTGCTTTGCCAATCGTCGCCTTTACGTCTGCATCTGACCCTCCTTGTTGATCGATGATGCTTCCCAGATATGTGAAGGATTCTACATCTTCCAGAGTTTCGCCATCAAGTGATTGGATTGCTGTTCTCCGTGTTGTATTTGAGGACCTTGGTTTTTCCTTATGTATGTTGAGGCCTACTGGTGCCGAGGCTGCCGCTATACTAGTTGTCTTCATCTGCATATGTTTGTGTGTATGGGATAGGAGGCCTGAGTGGTCTGCGAATTCCAAATCGTCTAATTGATTCTGAGCTGTCCATTGTATTCCATGTTTTCCCTCAGATGTCGAAGTTTTCATTAGCCAGTCATCCACCAGAGGAAAGAGGAAGGGAGATAGTAGACAGCTTTTTCTGACTACAGTCCTTACTTGAAATGCATCTATTAGCTGTCCTTCATGCACGACTTTGCACAGGAGTTCAGCTTCTACTATACAAATCATTTATTTCAAACATATTTGGTTTATATTATACCAGTCAAACAGACTACATCACATCATAATATAAGGCATAACATTTATATAAGATCAAGCCAAAGAAGTGACTGTGAATGTAAGAGATTGGAACTAATAGTTTAGGGAAATCGCATAACAATGATCTATAAGTCAAAATGAATCTTATAATGAAAGGAATATAGATAGATATACCTAATATAATTAGTGAGAATTCATCAGTTGAGATGGCTTGGACACGTGTTACCTATGCCCAACGACCGACTGCCTCGACGTGCTATGTTCAGTGGTATAGGAGTAGGTTGGAAGAAAGCTAGAGGTGGCCAAACCAAAACATGGCACAAGTCCATGAAGTCACTGACAAGTGAACTGAGTCATGTTGGTAGGTGTAGACTACCTGGTTGGGGACCGCGAGATGACAGCAACCGATGGTTAGAGACCCTGAATGACATGGCTGAAAATCGTTTGCAATGGCGCAGGTGCATCCACTCTCTGTGTTCTCCCAAATTCTAATCTTCTGAATTCTTCATGTCCCTTTTTTCCTCTTTCCAAATTTTTTTCACTGTATTATACTCTTTAAATAACATCTCCAAACCCTAATCTTCTCGATTACTGCTTATACTCTTATTACCTCTACCACTACGGGATTTGAATCGACAAGTGCATCTCTGTGCTAATGTGGTGTGGCAACTCGAACTAATGTACGTACGTACGAAGTTCTACGCCGTTACTGACTGACTGACTGAATAGTTATACAATAAGAATATATGTATAGCACTAATCTATGAATAGTTCTCAGACGTTACTCATCAATTAATCTTTGCTAGGATATAATAGTTAGTGTTTTATTTAACCAAGTTCATTTTCTATGAGATAAGATCTCTAACCTCATATTTAATCTTTCTACATAAAGATTTGGAATTCAACTCAAAGAAGAATATGAACTTGATATTCTATACTGAATAATTAATCAGTAGTCATTAATAAGTCACTAACGTCTAGTCTGAGTCATATTGGGAGATGAAGACTACTTGGTTGGGATCCACGTGACAATCGTAACCAATGGTTGGAGACTCTTGGTGACATAGTTCAGAATCGATCACAATGGTGTCGGTGTATACACTCTTTGTCTTCCCTTAAACTATCAGATTAGAATTGCTTCATATCTATCTTCCTGTACTATATCCTTATATACAATTTTTCTTTTATATAGTACCACCATTGAATTAACTACTTCTATGAATTCGGTGTTCATCTTGTTGTGTTAATGAGGTATGGCAACTTAGACCGATGCATATATGTACCTGGTCCTATGTTGTAGCTGACTGATTGACTGAGTCATGAATATTATGTTTATTGAAATGTTTAAATCACTTTAAGCAGTCCATGGAATACATCTTTAAGGCGAACGTTTTGCTTTGATTTTCTTTGATTTTCCTTTCTTTCCTTTGATCTTGAGGATTCCATGTAAGGGGCTTGTCTTGTGACGCAATTATATGCTTTCCTCAATGTGTGTCCTATCCACTTCCAGTGCTTCTTGTTGATTTCTTCTTCCGCTGGGATTTAGTTTGTTCAAAAATATAAGGTATTTATGACAATGTATATGTCCTTAGGTTTCCCGAAAATTCTGAAATGCTACTAAACATAGTAGCAGTATAGGTACCTATTATCCAATCAGTAATCCGACATGTGACCTTTTACTTTCTAGATGTGATTAGATGGTGGTTAGAGGTAATCGACAGGAAATCCTGTACACGGGTTTCGTGCTACTTGGCACTCGTCAGCAAGATGTACCAGTAATCTTTGAGGGTACTGGTACTCCTTGACGGATTCGATCCCGTGTCGCTCAGCTTCACAGTCAGAGACGTTACCATTGAGCCATCTGGGCTGCAAGCGGCCTCCTGTAAGACTTTCACTTTCCAGATGTTTCTGACAAAACTTCTATTGAATACTGATTAGATAAGATGTTTCTCAATGTTTTTTTAAGATCCTTATTTTCAACCGATTTTTTTCTCTGCGAGGAGTTTTCTACAACTTCCGAAACAATTCTGTTGATTCTAATTAGAAAAAATCCCACCAAAAAAGTGTATAAATCACTTAGAAACAATGTAAATCTAATTTTCATTATTTGAATAGACCGCAAATTGGTTTTGTTTGTTCTTTAAAATTTAAATTATCCGCACATTTATTGATTTTTGTTATCGTTCAAGGTCATTTAAATAAATGATAATTTCCCAGAGGTTAATGTAAATATAATAAGCCTATAAGTAAAGAAGAAGAGGAAAAAACAAACAATCAATAAGGTCAAATATTGATTAATTGATTAATTAATCAATAAAATAATGGGCAAATGTTTTTTTGTGGGTACACAATTATGTGTTACATAATAAATGAATATAGAAATTCTTATTTCAGATAGGTTTTTGTGGTTATTATAGTAATTTCAATGGTTAAGATCATGAGTCAGTTGAAGTTAGACCACCATGGAAAACCTGGAAGCACTGGATGGCCGTTTCGTCCTAGTATGGGACTCCTCAACAGTGCAAATCCACGACCTCGCCCCCTGCGAGATTCGAACCCAGGACCTGCTGGTCTCGCGAGCGAGCACTTAACCACTAGATCACTGAGCCAACCGGCATTCAACGTTGTTAATGTCTAACTTCAACTAATCCACGAAATTGAGCGACACATCCACCATTGTCATCAGTGAGTTACTATCTCACAACAGACCTGGTTTCTTAAATAAATCTTAATTAAATTACAATTATTAGAAAGGGATTTTGTGTAGAGTTTAATAGCTCAATAGTTGATTAAAGTTAGAGTAGTATGGAAAAGTATAAAGTACTGGAAGGTTGTTTTTTGTCCTAATATGGGATTCCTACAGGAGTGTTTATCCATAATCTTGTTCGCGAGATCCAAACTCAGAATCTACAGTCTCATATGTAAACATTTAACCTCTAGATCAATGAGCCACGGTTGATATTCAGTAGTGTTAATATTTAACTTTAACTAATCTACTAAATCATGCCATCGTTTACCATTGTCTTCAATAAGTTACTATCTCACAACACACGTGGTATAAACTCCAGTGAGAGGAGTACCATACTAAGATAAAATGGTCGTCTAATGTGTTCAAGTTTTCCATGGTGTTCTAGCTTTAATTGACTCATGAATTCTTATTAAAAAAAAGAACAATTTTGGTGGAGTTTTGTTCTCTGAGCTGGATGGTTTGGTCGTGAAGCTTTCATCGTTCTTCTGAACGACATCATCAGCACAAACTTCAGATAGAAGATAGACAGACTTCTATCTGAAGTTTATGCTGATGATGTCGTTCAGAAGAACGATGGAAGCTCCACGACCAAACCATCCAGCTCAAAGAACAAAACTCCACCAAAATCATCCATCTGAGCTACAAATCTTCTCCACCATCTCAAAAGAACAAATAATTGTTTAATGATAATTATAGTCGTCAATTAGTGATTTACGATGTAATTGAATTCTAATAGAAGTATATTCGGCAAGACTATCATTTATGGCCGAAACAATCAGATACATGATGAATATGTCTTGGATATTGACGTGAAATTCGTTCAACCATTTGGCTAAATAGAGTTTCGGTATTATAACTGATATCAGTTCATGATGAAAACCCTAAATTCAATTCCTAACCCATAACTATCAACTGTAAATCATAATTCTAATTCCTCATACTAATTTATAACCTTCATTTGGTCCTAGTTATTAGGTGGACACTTTCTAGGTCAGTTTAGCGTCCTTCAAAGGTTGTCCATAAATGATAGTTTCAACGTATAAATGAATAATAAATGTTGGGGACGTTAGATCCCCAGAACTCACTTGGGAAAGGACCTAATTTTGTAATTTTATTTAGATAATTTCAATTTTTTTGTTTTCGCGCCAAATGTGCTCTTGTCACCTTCATGTCGTATTTCCCACTTGGGAAATATCTTAATTGCTATTGGTCCTTTGCGTCTTTTAGTATGCTATTTGGTAATTCTCCCCAAGGACTGTTTTGTGCTGTATATATACGTTTTGAATTGTGTTTGTTGTTATCGCTCGTTTCTGACTGTTTGCAGAATATACTTCCCCATTCCAAGCTTGGAGTTCTTGCTCTAGTTAGGGGGGCTGAGATGCATCAATATTTAGCTTACTGATCTTTGGTCATCGAGTCTTGTTTCTAGTTCGCAGATTAATTGAACTCGTGTTAGCTTCAACCCTAGTAATAAATAAACATAGAAACAAAAATCAAACCAATAGGAGATATAACCAAAACAAAAAAAAGTAAACAATGACAAATTTAAGATCAATAAGAACCAATCAACATCGAGATGTACAGGATGAATTGTGAACTATATGTGGCGAAATTCGAACATTTCACTTCTACCTAAAGTTTGTACTACTAATGATGTCATTCAGAAGAACAATGAAAGCTTTCATGATCAAATCATCTAGCTCATAGAATATAACTCCATCAGGATCATAGTTTTATGTGCATGTTCTAAATTATACTTACTACAACAACCACAATCAAGAAAGTACAAGTATTTATAAATAGCTGTCTACGCAAGATACTCAACATCCATTGGCCGGATACCATCAGCAACAGCCTTCTGTGGGAGAGAACAAAGCAACTTCCAGCTGAAGAGGAAATTAGGAAAAGACGATGGAAATGGATAGGACATACATTACGCAAATCGTCAAACTGCATCACGAGGCAATCCCTAACTTGGAATCCTGAAGGGAAGCGAAAAAGAGGAAGGCCAAAGAACACATTGCGTCGGATAATAGAAGCAGATATGAAAACGATGAATTACAACTGGACGGAGCTAGAAAGGATTGCTCAGGACAGGGTTGGATGGAGAACGCTGGTGAGCGGCCTATGCTCCTTCACGAGGAGTAACAGGCGTAAGTAAGTAAGTCTAAATTATACTTAATAAAACTCTTTTCTTTTTAACTTTCATCTCTCCTTTATGAAATATAGATCCTTGGTATAATTTGTATTGCATTAGCTGGAAAAGGTTATCATGAAATTGGATTTCAATATTTAATTGGAATTGGAACATTTTCAGCTATTGGAAATATTGTCTTTTTATTAATGTATGGTTTTGCTACAACAAGACCATTAGATGGTCGATCAATATTAAAATTAATTGTAAGTTCCATTTACTTATTTAATCAACAAAACGTTTTAAATGATACATATTCACTTGATAGTGTTGTTTTAATTGAATCTTCTCATTGATGTTTAACACTGTCATTGATCAATCTCTTATTGGTATTCTTTGTGTGGATTACTTCCATGTCATAAGCATTATAAGCAAAGATAGAGAGTGGCTAGCAATAGAATGTAGGACGTGCGTTTCGTCCTATTTGGAACTCATCAACTAGACATACTTACATCTCAGAGTTGGTGTTCATTCGTGAACTCGAACCCAGTACCGTTCGCTTCAAACGCTATCGTGTTATCTACTTAGCTACTGGGTCCTGATGGTCATTTGATTGTGTAATGGGTTGACGTTTAAATTCACTTGGTGTTGTTTTACTTGTATCTACCCATTGATGTTTTCGGACTGCAATTGATCAGTCTCATGTTGGTATATGTGTATCATGTGCAAATTGCCTCAATATTACCTTAATACACAAGCATTCTAAGCAAAGATTAATAGTGACTAACAGTGTAATCCAGGATGCGACTTTCGTCCTATTTCAAATTTACTTAAAAGAAGTATTCAACAGATATTTATTTTATAAAACTGAAACTTTTTAATTCTCATCGAAGTGATTCTTGGTATGATTAAATAGATTAGAATCATAGTAAACAAACAGACATATTTGTTATGATTTCTCATGATGATAGTGTATGTTACTATCATTAGTATTGTAGTGAATAAGAACTCAAATAGGGACAATCTCTAACCTTAATCTTTCCAATTACTACTTATACTTTTACTACCTCTACTACTATGGAATTTGAATCGACAACTGCATCTGTGTGCTAATATGGTATGGCAACTTGGATCGATATACGTACGTACGTACGAGTTCTACGTTGTTACTGATTGACTGATTGAAAATCTGAGGATCATACATTAAACATTTCATTTGCGAAATGTTAATCAATTTTCTCAAACTTGACTATTCTTTCTGTAGATGTCAATCAGCCGTTTTGTATTTTCATACCAATTACTTTCTGTTCTCATTCTTTCCTCTTCAATCTTCTCAACTGTCTGCTACTAGACATTCTATTCCGGACTAGCACTATATACTACTTATGTCGTCATAAGTAGTACACATGACAGTCTTATATACTGATTTACAGAAATACTATAAGATAATATTAGGCATTTGGTTACACAAAATTATAATTTGACAAAAAATAATAATAAACAGTTTAATGTCATAATCATAGAAACACAATTGAATACTTTATTCTGATTAGTTCAATATTAAAAGGAGATAAACCGATAAGATTATCCACATTAGATGGTGGTTGGAGGTAGTCGATAGGAAACCCTTGACTCGAGTTTCGTGCTACTTGGCACTCGTCAGCAAGGTGTACCTGTAATCTTTAGAGAACTAGTGCTCCCTGACGGATTCAATCTCGTGTCACCCAGCTTCACAGTTAGAGACGTTACCACTAAGCTATCCGAGCCGCAACTAACCTCCTGTAAGACTTAGATGTAATCATAATTGATTGATCACTGGGTAGTGATCAATGTCATGCGTGTCAAGTCCTTATTTAGTGCAGATCGAATGCTATCGATCATGTTGCAATGTGGCCACCAGTCTAGGTGACTCGACACTGCGGGCACTATGTATTGATATTTAGATGGTAGTTGGAGGTAGTCAACAGGAAACCCTGGACCCGGGTTTCGTGCTACTTGGCACTCGTCAGCAAGGTGTACCTGTAATCTTGAGGGAACTGGTGCTCCCTGACGGATTCGATCCCGTGTCACTCAGATTATTCTAATCACTTGACTTAACTAACAATCTAAAATGTTGATTTGTAAATGAATTACTTTTTAATTAATTTATTAATTGTATTTACAAGTCAATGCAAGCTAGACTATCATGGAATACTTGGAAGAATTGGATGGTCATTTCGTTCTAGTATAAGATTCCTCAGCTGTGCGCATCCACGATCCTTCTCACAGGATTCGAATCTAGGACCTATCAGTCTTTTTATTAGTTCACTTATATAAATTTAAGTAAATAAAGATATAGCAATCATTATGTTGGGACTGAGATCAATTTTAATTCATAAACTAAATGGCTTAAGATGATTTCTGTGAAAGGTAAGGAAGATCAACAAGGTCATTGGGATAATAATAGTTGATTAGCTACAATATATACTTGACAGCTATTAGATCTGTTCTACTTCAGTTTGAATTTGTTCAACATGATCTACTTTTCTATCGTCAGTATCTTGACAGGAGACTTTCAGGTTTATGACAGTACTATAAAAGTAATTCTTAAAGCATGTGGAATGCTTTGGTTGTGAAAGAGATCGTTTCATTTTAAAATACAAAATCTAGTCGATGGTTCCTCTGCACCTCGTTGACGGTGGCTTGTACATGATGTAGAGTTATAAAGCGAAGAATATTGGTATAATTGGATGAATTTAGATCGATTGATGCAGATTTTTTAAACTAAGTGTTAGAATAACTTGAAATATGATATGGGATACATGTGATCGTAAATGACTGAATTGCAATATTTTCGACTGCTAGTTGAATAGGTGAAAGATATAACATAGTGCACGCAATGTAGAGTCACCTAGACTATTGGCCACATTTCGATCTACACTAAGAAGGACCTAACATACATGATATTTATCACCACTCAATGATTATTCAGTTGCGGGCCCAGATAGCTTAGTGGTAACATCTCTGACTGTGAAGCTAGGGGACACGGGATCGAATCCGTCAGGGAGTACCAGTTCCCTCAAGTTTACAGGTATACCTTGCTGACGAGTGCCAAATAACACAAAACCTAGGTCCAGGGTTTCCTGTGTAATAACTCCAACCGTTTATAAGCCTCATACTAGGATGCAACGGTCGTCGAATGTTCCCAGGTTTTCCATGATGATCTTCTTGCTTTAATTAACTCATGAATTCAACCATCAGTTTAGACGTTTTTCAAAAAAAAGAGATAATTCCACAATAAATAGTGTTTATTTATCTCAGAATCTAATTATTGATTATATGCAAATATGGATGGTGGTTAGCAGTGGAATGCAGAAACTTGTCAGCTGGATGTACCTTAAGTCATTATCGAAGGAATACGCACAGGATGTTCATATAGCAATAAAAGTATGATCCGTTGCAGTCTTAAACAACAATCGAACATGAATCTAACAACAAACTACCATTCTTGGATGTAGTAATCACCAAAACCGACATAAGAAAACTGGAGACTCAAGTATATCAGAAGCCGACCCACACAAATCAAATTCTCAATTACAGTAGCAGCAACTCAAGAGCTCACAACTATATGCAAACTTTATAAAAGAGGGCGAGGATACACTGAAGTACACTTGCAGCACGAAAAAATGAAGAAAAATACCTGAAAACTATCGTTCAAAAGAGCGGCTACCCAATCAACTTCGTTGAAAAATACCAGCTGAATACATCATCAGAAACAATGTCGAGCATAGAAATCAACAAACGGATCACCCTACCATATATAAAAAGCATATCAGAAACTACGACGAGATTGTTGAAACTTTTCGGAATAGGTGTTGTTATGACCTTGGATGTCTGACTTTTCGATCACACGATTTATCTACCAATCCGGATACGACTTATACGAATCTTCACACTAGGCCAACCAATGACGTTCAACCGGTGTGGGCAGTTTAGCGTCCTTATTGGTCCTATGTCCTACGAGCCCTTCCACTTGAGTCCAGAACAAGATACCAGCTTCCGAATCAGAGCAGATCGTTTATTTCAGACATACCGGGTTTATATATCAATCACGCAGACCGCAACGTACCATAAAATAGGAAATAATATTTGTACACAAATAAGCCCAAAAGGTGGCTGTGAATGTGGGAGGCAGTAGTTAATAAACTGAACATAACTTAAGAACCGTAAATCCTACAATAATAAATTATAGGCCAAAATAAAGCTTATCATAAAAGGAACATAAATATACATAATGTAATTGTTGAATAGTTATACAATAAGAATATTTATAGGATATTAGTCCATGAATAGTCCTCGCAAGTTACCTGTAATTTAATCTCCACTCGGATGTAACAGATGTTGTACACAAACCAACAAAATCACTGCAATCAGTCCTATGTAAATCAAAGGATGAAATGACAAAAGAAGATAAACTAAACATCATCTACAAAATAAATAATGCCAACTGCGAAAAACACTGCATCGAACAACGCGGATGCCCTCATCGTTCTGCGCCTGCATGAACATTAATTAGTGATCAAACGCTATGACATATCTTCACCTGTATCAATGTATGTATTCAATGTATGTCTCATCCACTTCCAACGTCTTTCTCTAATTTCTTCTCCAGATGAAAGTTGATTTATTCATTCCCAAAATAGGCTGTTGTTGATGGTATTCGTACAACGAACATTCAGTATCTTACATAGATAAGTGTTTATGAGAACTTTTCCCTTCTTGATATTAGTTGAAGTAGTTCTCCACATTTCATCTCCATACACGAAGACTATCTGGACGTTCGTATTAAAGATTTTGACTTTAACATTGATTGATAGACAGTTTATTTTACGTTTCATATATCTTCTTTAACTTTAAACATAATATATTACTGATATTTAATAAGAACAATCATCATCATCATCATCCAAAGCATCATCATCATCATCATCCAGAGCATCATCATCATCATCATCATCATCATCCAAAGCATCATCATCATCATCCAAAGCATCATCATCATCATCCAGAGCATCATCATCATCATCATCATCATCCAAAGCATCATCATCATCCAGAGCATCATCATCATCATCCAAAGCATCATCATCATCATCATCATCATCCAGAGCATCATCATCATCATCATCCAAAGCATCATCATCATCATCCAAAGCATCATCATCATCATCATCATCTAGAGCATCATCATCATCATCAGCATCATCATCTAGAGCATCATCATCATCATCATCCAAAGCATCATCATCATCCAAAGCATCATGATCATCATCATCATCATCATCATGAGCATCATCATCAGCATCCAAAGCATCATCATCATCATCTAGAGTATCATCATCATCCAGAGCATCATCATCATCATCCAAAGCATCATCATCATCATCATCCAAAGCATCATCATCATCATCCAAAGCATCATCATCATCATCATCATCATCTAGAGCATCATCATCATCATCAGCATCATCATCTAGAGCATCATCATCATCATCATCCAAAGCATCATCATCATCCAAAGCATCATGATCATCATCATCATCATGAGCATCATCATCAGCATCCAAAGCATCATCATCATCATCTAGAGTATCATCATCATCCAGAGCATCATCATCATCATCCAAAGCATCATCATCATCATCCAAAGCATCATCATCATCATCATCCAGAGCAGCATCATCATCATCATCCAAAGCATCATCATCATCATCATCCAAAGCATCATCATCATCATCATCCAGAGCAGCATCATCATCATCATCCAAAGCATCATCATCATCATCATCCAGAGCAGCATCATCATCATCATCCAAAGCATCATCATCATCATCCAAAGCATCATCATCATCATCATTTAACTTTCAATATCATTCATATATGATTTCATTTACAATGAAACAAACATATAATAATTGAATATTTAAATGTATTCTGTACAACAATCAATCTGTTCATTAACTCATTATTATTCCAATAGTTTCTATGCATAGAATTATTGTATTCACTTGATACTGTTCGTTTTGAATAGTTTATTAAAGTACATTTAAATAAAATGAAATAAAATTTTGTTTATTTTTGTTTTTCATTATGAAAATTAAAAGAAAGAAAAAAAGTTCTTCAGTCATGAAAATTAAAAAAAAAATAGGTACATTCATTAAATGATTTGCAAGAATTGACATTGAAGGTTGTGGGTTCGAATTCTGAGTGAGTAGTGGATGGTAACGCAATTTCTTGGATTGATTAAAGTTAGACAAAAATACCAGTTGAATGCTGACTGGTTCAGTGATCTAGAAGTTAATAGTTCACACACGACATTGAGAGTCTTAGATACCGGTTTACTGATCTAGAAGTTAAATGTTCGCGTACAAGACCTAAGGTTCCGGATTCGAATCTCACGTGTCAGATCGTGAATGTACATTGCTGAAGGATCCCATAAAAGGACGAAACGGCCGCCCAGTTCTTCTAGGTTTTCCACAATGTTCTAGTTGCAGTTGAATCATGATTTCAACTATTGAGAAAAAAACCATTAGATGAACGATTACGTAACATTATGAATAAATCAAAGTTAAATATGAACATTATTAGATTCACTAGTTTAAAGATTTCGAGTTCAAATATGTGAAACTGAATGTAGTCGATTTGAGTTCCATATATATAACATCATAGATGTATACTTCTGAAGAGTCTTATACAAGAACAAAACAATCATTCAATACTTTAAAGTTTTCATAGATCAATAAGAACTTTCATCTAAATTTGAACGAATCGTTTCACACTGTTTGGGCGTCGAGTTAATGTAAGTCATTAAAGAGGAAGAATGTTGTATTTGTAAAATCTCAACAAAAGAACTGAAAGTAAATCCAACGTTTCGCTTAGCAATCTGGTTCAAGATTTTTCAAGGAAAATATAATCAAACAACAAAATTATCGAATAAAAAAAGAGGTACATCGTTCTCTAGTTTACTGTATACTTCAATAGATCATTCAATCAACGTGAACAATGTTTAATAGTAGGTATTTACATTAATGTGTAAGAGATATGTGGTGTGGAAACGAAAACTCTTAAGATGACAGATTGTGTGTATATGTAAGTGATGTGAGAAGAAGATATTTCATTCAACTATAGATTGTCTTCGGTCTGTGTCTATTAAGAAGAAACATATCATTTTTATATATATGAAATGAATTAAAAATGCCACAACATGCATTAAAGGAAGATAAGTAAATAAGATAAAAGACTGAATTCAAAGAGAGGAATATATTTGCAATTGAAAGATTGTGTTCTTTTAATGTTCCAGTCAAATTGTTTAACATATTCAGATTAAGCGTCTTGCGTGAGACTGATAAGTCCTGGGTTCGAATCCAGCGGGGTACGGATCGTGGATGTGCACTGTTAAGGGGTACCATACTAAGACAAAACGACCGTTCAGTGCTTCCAGGTTTACCATGGTGTTCTAGCTTCAACAACTGATATTCAGATAAGCCAACTGATTTGAAACTGTTGAATGTATTATCTATTGATTAGTTAATAGATAGATCAAATAGAATAAGGAATTCAAGTTTACTTATTAATTATTAGTTGCCATAGAACAGCTAATTGTATTTCATCTCTCCTATTAATACTATTTGAATTAGCTCATACATGTGTGGGGTTTCAGTTGTTAGTCGTTCTTTGTAAGAATTAGAGCCTTTTTGAATGTTTCTTACACCATAGATCATAGATCATATAGTTTCAATGAATTCATTAAATGAATTCAATTTTTTATCTTGAATTGTCAACTTAACAACCATTTCAATGTTTTCATTGTTTATTTAATTGTTATTTATTTATTTATTTATTTACTTTTGGCGGTTTATCATCATTTTAAATATTCATAAATTCAATGATTTATCTCATGAATGTACGTGTGTGTGTATGCGTGCGTGCACGCGCGCGAATGTCTCTATTTGTGTTTGTGTGTCTGTATGTCTGTGTGTTAGTGTGTGTGTGTGCAAGCGTTTCTGTGTGTTTGTGTGTGCGAGTGTCTCTGTTTGTGTTTGTGCATTTGTTTGTATGTCTGTGCGTGAGTGTCTCTTTGTGTGTGTGTGTGTGTTTGTGATGTTTATGATAATGAATGAATTCATTTTAATTGTTAATTTCCTATGTAATAATATATAAATATCTATTCCTTTTTATTTAAATTTTTCTTCTTTTTCTTTTCTTTTCTTTTCTTTTCTTTGTTGTTGTTGTTTTAATAACCAAGGAAACTATTTATCAGTTGATTGTCACATTACTTTATTGTATCTCAATTGGTGTAACATTTAATCAAATAGATTATTTACAATATTTTATTGGACCAATTACAGTAAGTAGTGTCTATTTAATTATGATTAAATGTTATGATTATATCATTAGTATTATGAGAGATAAGCATTGATTACAATCATAACCGGTAGTAGTAATCATAATAATGATTTCAATCAATGAAATTTCTAAAAAATCTCCACAAAACCCCTTTGGATATTATTCAACATATGCTCACTAGTGACTGACTTCAATAGAGATACTCCTGGAGTTCGACCAGGTCTGTTGTTAGATAGGAACTTACTGAAGACATTGGTGTACGGTGGAGCAACTTCGTGGATTGGTTGAAGTTAGACATTTACACCGTTGGGTGCTGGCTCAGTGATCTGGTGGTTAAGTGCCTGATGCGAAACTGATATTTCCTGGGTTCGAATCTCGCGGGGTGCGAGACCGTGGATGCGCACTGTTGGGGAGTCCCATACTAGAACGGAACGGCCATCCACTGCTTCCAGCTTTTTCATGGTGGTCTAGATTCAATTGACTCATGATTTCAGCCAGTGAAATCTCTAAAATCTTCACAAAACCATTTCTCATAATAATAATAATGATAATGAAATGTGATTATTGATATGAATGTGAAATAAAACATTTGACTATAACTAAAGGGATAAAGTCACTTGGTAAGATGGTGGTTGGAGGTAGTCAACAGGAAATCCTGGAGACGGGTTTTATGCTACATAGCACTCGTCAGCAAGGTGTACCTGTAATCATGAGGAAACTGGTACTCCCTGACTGATTCAATCCTGTGTACGTAGCTTCACAGTAAGAGATGTTACCACTAAGCTATCCAGGTCGCGAATGACCTCCTGTAGGACTGAGATATATTTACAATTGATTGGTCACTGGGTCGAGAGCATTCGATCTGCACTAAGAAGGACTTGACACACATGACATTGATCACCACCCAGTGGTCAATAAATTGTGAAATTCACTTGGTATTGTTGCTTTACTTGAATCTTCTCATTGTTATTTGGGACTGCATCATGTCCGAACTGCCTCAATATTGTCCTGATTCACAAGCATTGTAAGCAAAGATGAATAGTGGTTGATAGTGGAATGCAGGACGTGCGTTTCATCCTATTTGGGACTCATCAGCTGCATGTACCTGTATTTCACAGTTGATGTTCATTCGAAGACTAACCCAGTACTGTTTGCTCCTAACTTTATAGCGTTATCTACTTATCTACTGAGTTCTGATAGCCACTTTTTTGTGTAGTGGGGTGAAGTTTATATTCACTTGGTATTGTTTTACTTGAATCTTCTCAGTGATGATTATGTCTGCAATTGGTCAGTCTCTTATTGAGATGCAGGTACATCCAGTTGATGAGTCCCAGATAGGACGAAACGTGCGTCCTGGATTCCACTCCTAGTCATTATTCATCTTTGCTTATAACTACAGGGATAGTTCGCATCATGAAAAAACTATATTTTGCAGACTATAAGAAGTTGGAAAGTATTAGACAACTGTTTAATTCTAGTATGAAACATGTTAGTCTAGGTCTAACCCAGAACTTAAAGTATTGAGGAGAGCGTATTACTTTTAAACTATCTATGAAGCATATTCTTAACTTTTTTCATTACATGTTGTGAGATTTTCATTATTCATTCGCAGCGGTGATGACTGTCTTACTTTAAATGTGGCTGAACTCGACCGATCACACCTTTGCAATAATACTTCAAAAAGCAATAATATTTGTATAATCACACTGGATTAGGTAACTATGGTTGTAATCCATCCAAATATTATAATTTTATATTAACAGCTATTCATAGACTTATGCTGAAGGATATTATTATCAGTACCGTTTGAGTATTTCCGTAATTTGTCAGTAAGTTTGATATAATTAACTACTTGGAACGATAATACTTGATGTTGAAGTCATGAACTTTCCATATCAGTACAGCTCTTTTTTCAACATCATCCCATTTATATATTTGAAAACATAAATATTGAAAGACAAACACACTGAATACATATGTACCACACAACTCTTTTGATTCGTGAGTGGACTGTGATACTGCTCGGATGCCCAGACCGAAACAAGTGGTTTTCTCAGTGCTCCACTCCCGAAGCCTTCTACCTAAATGTCTGATCCACATGGTAGTGGAGCAGCGTTAGGAGATGCAGTCTCATGGAAGCCGGTGACCAACAATAGGTTCATACAGCATTTACTTCCTCAGGGTCCTGGAGCCCATGTACACCGTTGGTTTGGAATCATTGTCCAACTCCCCTAGGTGGACCCTACATATCCACCAACCCGAATATTTGCTTTTTGTCCTCTCAATTTCGTAAACAACACCGGTGCCGCGAGAAGGTAGTAAGTAGAACTTTCCTGGCAGTGGTTGTATACGCGTAGCCATGTGAAAGTTTAATGGCTCGAGATCTGACTCCAATTAGATCGTGTGAATGTTTGCTGTCGAAATATATGTTCTGACTACTTTCGTATATCTTGATCGGCTTAGATCGCGTTAGTGAATAACGGGATTAAATAAGCTAAATACGAGAATGGATTTCGAATATGTATATTTCATGCACTCATTGATTTGAACAGGCAATCAGAGAATGAACCCTAGAGATCAGAGCGAATCGAAATTACGCACAGTGAATAAAGCCAATAAGGCAAATCCATTTCACCAAGCGCTAATCAATATTTATAGTCCCACAAAACCATTTACAGACATGTGATGAATAGGATAAGATTTGTATACATAGATACGCTCATATAAAAACAGTCAAGTTTGGATAAGTGGATAATTGACAAGATCGAAACGTAACTCAAGTACAATGAATACATCGGCATGTACGAAAGCTAGATTACGGTATATGGGCTTAACATAATAACCGATACTACAAGAGTTTTTCGAGAAGGAGAGTGGAATCTCTCCACTCTCGTCGTACCATTTGAGCATTTGATAGCAATATCATCCCAGTATCTCATCACATAATGTTTACAATTAAATTATTGTTTAACGGCTCCCACGTTAAAAACTCAAGTTAAAAAGAGACGTTACAGAGTTCAAAGAACCATTGAATCTAACAGTCATTGAATAATGTCTGATCAAACATGAATCATTAAATTCTGTGCTGAATTAATCTTTTATCAAGTTTGGAACACTTTTTTTTCTCACATCTAAAATTAGCTTACTGATAAGTACCATGGATTATAAAAGGGACGTCATGATACATCTAATGAACTTCTTGAAGATAATTGATATCTACTATTCAACCAGTTGTTTGACATTGAATTTCTAGCCGCTTTCTAGATCATCCTTACAATTGAAGAACATATGGAACTCAAAACAACTTTCAACCAATATCAAAGTCACAATTTCCAATACGGACGTCAAGACAGTTCTACTGTACGGAGCTGAAACCTGGAGAACTACAACAACCATCATCAAGAAGGTACAAGTATTTATAAATACTCAACATCTATTGGTCGGATACCATTGGCAACAGCCTTCTTTGAGAGAGAACAAACCAACTTCCAGCTGAAGAGGAAATTAGGAAAAGACAATAGAAATGGATAGGACATAGATTACGCAAATCATCAAACTGCATCATGAGGCAAGCCCTAACTTGAAATCCTGATGGGAAGCGGGAAAGAGGAAAGCCAAATAACACGTTACGTCAGGAAATAGAATCAGATATGAAAAGGATGAATAACAACTAGAACGAGTGGCCTATGCTCTTCCACAAAGGGTAACCGGCGTAAGTACTAGATCCTCAAACAATAAAGAAAAAAAATAATACGAAGTAAGATTATTGACAATAATATTGACCTCTAAAAACTTCTGAAACAATGCTAAATGATTTTATCATCCAATTAGTGTATAACACATAGACTATCAGTTTTTTCTTGCTAGACACTTGAATGGCATATACGTTTGTCGACTTTTTGATAACTTTAATCAATGAGTTCTAGGGAAGAAAAAAAACCCCTACACTTGGTATTGTTTGGCTTGTATCTTCCCATTGAGGTTTAAGACTGCAATTGATCAGTCTGTTATCGGCATATGTGCATAATGTGCAGTCTTAAACCTCAATGGGAAGATACAAGCCAAGTAATACCAAGTGAATTGAAATTCACCCCATCGCGCAAGCCAGTGGCTATCAGAACTCAGTGGCTGAGTGAATAACGCAATGGAGTTATAAGCGAGTGGTACTGGGTTCGAGTCACAACTCTGAGATGCAGATACACGCAGCTGAAGAGTCCCAAATAGAACGAAACGCGCATCCTGTATTCCACTGCTAGCCACTATCCATCATTGCTTACAAAATATACCCTTGTTCACTTAACTCTATATAAGTAGTATATTTCAATGACTCATCTGATTGTTTTATAATCATAATCTCATTCATTTATATAGATATTTACATCAGCTAATTTTGGAGCTTATATATTTGGTAGTATGGTTGCAATCACTGAATTACTTTGTAAACATCCAGATATCAATACTACTAATAACACTACTACTACTACTACTAATAACACTACTAATACTCCTATGAATACAAATTCGAACCCTAATCCATCTCAACCTGTTAATCAATTGAATCAAAGTAAATAACAAACAACTCAATTGTGTTGTATATTACTTTATCTATATATATAACCATAGTTATCTTATTTACCCTTTAATTACTTTATACAATATTACTATTATGTGCATATTACTGAATGATTTATCTATGTATTATGTAATTGATGACAATAATCAATGATATACAGTATTCCTTATACAATTTGATTATATTTATGATGGACTGTTGATTTGATCCTTGAAGATGTTCTTTTAGAAGGTTAGAATTTGGTTTATTTCAAAGAATAAGGGAATATACAATTCATTTATCACTTATCTTCTGTTTAACTTCGCATGTAGCTCTTCTAGAGTTACTGCCGATCCCAAGCTCGGGTAAAGGAAGAGGGTTGGGCATGGGGGTTAGCGACTCGGAACAAAAAATCGCTAAGCAGAAAAATAATTCAAACCATTTAAACTCTGCCCTGGGAGTTAGTAGGTCTTCATTTAGAAGGACTATGACGCCTGATGGTGAAAGCCGAGTTTCTTCGAAAGCCACTAGACCGATGTCCCTTCTAACAACCAGAGTAACAATTTTTATAGGTACATGGAACGTCCGAACAATGTGTAAGTTATCTTCTATTTATGAGTTCATTCAAGCTAGATTATTATCAAAAAAATTTGAAAGTACTATAAGACCATTTCATTCTAATATGAGACTGACCAATAATACACATTCATAATCTCATATACGGGATTCGAACTCAGGACATTTAGTCTTATGTACAAACTTTGAACTTCTTGATTAGTAAGTGAGTCGATGTCCAACGATATTACCTAAGACTGATGATCTTTGTATGATTCACTTTACAGAATACAATATGAATAAAATTACCCATTTGAACTAAAAATTCTCAACTTGACTTCAACATATTTGATCTGTTTTCATTTCAACACAAAAACTTCCCATTTCAACTTACTCTATTTTTGATGGAACTTTGTTCTCTAAGCTGGATGGTTTGGTCGTGGAGCTTTTATCGTTCTTCTGAACGACATCATCAGCACAAACTTCAGATAGCAGTGAAGTGTTCGAGTTTCTCCATATGTGTTCCACAGCTTGTTCTGTGCACCTTGATGTTGATTGGTTCTTATTGACCTTAAATTTGTCATTGTTTACTTCTTTGTTTTGGTTGTGTCTCCCATTGGTTTGATTTTTGTTCCTATATTTGTGCATAATTTTCCAGCTCATTTTTTTTGACGATGACGAAGGTGTCGTCTACATAGCGAATCCAAATTTTTGGCTTGATCACTGGTAATATCGCGGCTTCTAGTCTTTGTATCACTGCTTCTGCGATCAGTCCTGATATTAGTGATCACATTGGTGTCCCTTTCGTTTGTTAAGCATTAATCGATGAGTTCTAGTAGACTTTGAATTTGAAGCTTCGTGTACTTATTGAGATTTTTGTCGTTGGTGAGGAGCAGAGATAGGGTTTCTTTTGCTAACCTTGTCTCAATTGAAATGAATAACGCTGTTGCACCGAAGGATATCATCAGTTCGTTGTTGTTGTTGATTTGAATGTCCTTAATTTGGTCCAGGAATTGTGTGGGGGATTTGATGGAGTGATTGGATGAACCAACTAAGTGTTTCAGTATTGGTGAAATTTCTTTTGACAAATTGTATATCGGTGTTCCGGGGAGTGCTACAATTGAACGTAGTGGTATGTTTGGTTTGTGTATTTTTGGTCTGTCGTAGAATCGAGGGAGTACTGGTTCATTGGATTTCATTCTCCATTGGTCTTGTTTTGTTATTTCTCCTGCTTTGACTAGCTTGTTTAAAGTCTTTGAGATTCGATTGTCTAATTTTTTGACGGGATTTATACCCATCTTATCTTCAAGTAGTTCCTCGGCTTTTTTGACGTATTCTTCTTTGTCCATAATCACTGTAGTGCGTCCTTTGTGCGCTAGAACTATGACAATATCCTTCCTAGTTCTGAGTTCCTTCAAAGCTTTTAGTTCTTGTGGGGTCATTTGGTTGTTTTCCTTTACCTGTTGAGTTATCGGCACTATAGTTTGCCTTATTTCTTGCTGTATTTCTTCACTGATTCCTGAAGTTTTGAGTGATGACTATAGTGTTGCGAAGAATTCCAGTTTGGAGGCGTCGCTTGTATTGTAGTTTAATCCCTTTCGGAGTAGGTGTTCTTCTATATTTATTAATGGTTCTTTTGACAAATCTTCTCCACCATCTTACTCTGTTCTCTTTGGATTCTAAATGTTTAACATACATATTTTTGAGTAACTAATATATTTTCCAAAAAAATGTTATGATCAATCTAATTGAATGTTTGATTCGGTTTCTCAAGCTCTTGCTTGTAATAACCCCCCCCCCCGCCTTCAGGCTAAATCAACACAGCAACCTGAACGCGAGAGGAAAGTAGCGAAATATGAGGGAAAACGCTTCACTTCAAAGGTTCGTTCATGTATAGAAAATATAGGGTATTTATAGTCTTTTAGATGACTTTGTGTTTCCGGAAAATTCAATTCTAGAACGCTACTAAACATAATAGTAGCATAGTTACCTATCATTCAATCAGAAACGTAACATATGGCTTTTCACTTTCTTCATGTTTCTGACAACAATTCTATTGAATGCTGAATGGATAAGATGTTTCTCAGCATTTCTAGATCCTTTGTCGGCTTTTTTCTCCGAGGAGTTTTCTGGATCTTGAATAAGTGGAGTAAATTGAAAATAGATGAATTCATGAGTCAATTCAAGCTATACCATCATGTAAAATTTGAAAACACTGGATGAACATTTCAATCGTGATTATAAATGCGTACTGCTCAGGAGTGCCATATTAGGATGAAATGGCCGTTCAGTGCTTCCAGGTTTTCCATGATGGTCTAACTTCAACTGACTGATGAACTCTACTATTTAGTTACTACAATCTTAACAAAACCTCCTTCTGATAATAATTATCATGTGCTCACTAGTAACTGACTTCAAGAGGTATTTCTTTGAGTTCTAATGAGAAGCCGTGACAAGTGGAGCTCAAGCGTGTCTGTTGAGAGGCAGTTACTCACTGAAGACAATGGTGGATGTGTCACTGAATTTCGTGGACTGGTTAAAGTTACACATTAACAACATTGAATACAGGTTGGCTCAGTTATCTATAAGTTAAACGTTCATGCACAACACCAGTAGATCCTCGATTCGAATCTTGCGGGAGGCGGGATCATGGATGCATACTACTGAGGATGAAACAGCCTTCCATTACTTCCAGCTTTTCTATCATGATCTAACTTCAGCTGACTCATGTATTCAACTAACAAAAATGACTAAAATCTTAACGAATACCCCCCCATCGTTTCTGATAAATTCAAAATAATTTTTTTTTCCTATTCATTATCAAAATTTAATTTTATTCGATTATTCCATAAACAAACAAACGAACAAACAAAAATTATTACGGTTGCTATGACAACCAAAAGTAAACAATCAAACGATTCATTTAGTGAAACAAAATCTATTTCTAATATAAATAGACAATTCAAATAGAACGAGTGTTATTTGCATGAAATAACATTTTGTTTTTCATAGATGAATTATACATACGAATTTCAATGATTAAAGAATAGAAAGAACTCAATACAATCAGTTAGTCAGTCAGTCAGTCAGTCAGCTGCAATGTAGAATCAGGCACATTATATGCATCGGTTCAAGTTATTATGCCTCATTAGCTAGTATAACAAGATGAACATCAAATTCATAGAAGTAGTCACTTAAATAGTAGTGATCTATAAACAAAGATTGCAGATAAGGACGTAGTACAGAAAGAAAGAATTAGTTGGTAGAAAGAAAGATATGGAGAGATTTTAATCTCTTAGTTTAAGGGAAGACAGAGAGTGTATACACCGACGCCATTGTGGTCGATTCTCAGCCATGTCACCAAGTCTCTAACCATTGGTTACGATACTCACGCGGACCACAACCAAGTAATCTGCATCTACCAACATGGCTCAGACTAGAAGTTAGCGTCTTCAAGCACTGATGCCACGTTCTGGCTTGGCCGCTCCTAACTTTCTTCCAACCACCCCCTACACCAGTAAGCATTGCGCGTCGTGATAATCGGTGTTCAGGCATACACAACACGTGGCCCAACCATCTCAGTCGATGAAGATTCATAACCTCATCAACTGATTTACCATCATTCCCTAATACCCTGCGTTTAACCTCACTATTACTTACCCGGTGATCCCAGCAGACGCCAGCAATATTTCTGAGGCATCTGTGGTCAAATACTAATAGCTTACGAGTATCTTCTACTCTTAATGGCCATGTTTCGCTACCGTTAAGTAAAACAGAACGGACTGCCACTCAGTATACCCGTCCTTTTATTAATAGACGGATATCTCGCCTTCGCCACAGGTGACCTAAGTTGGCAAAAGCCAAACAAGGTCTTTGAATCCGTGCAGAGATTTCGTCAGACACCAACCCATTAGGGCTGTTCAGACTTCCAAGATAAGTGAAGTTGTCAACGAGTTCGACTACTTCACTCCCTATCCTTAGTTCAGGTGTTGACGCAGACCAGTCCTGAAGCAACAACTTGCATTTAGAGGAAGAGAAGCGCATTCCAAACATTCTGGAATTGTTGATTAGTACTACCAAAAGACTCTGCATTTTATTAGTGTTTTCATCAAACAGAACTATATCATCTGCGTATTCTAAGTCGATAAGTGGACCACCTGGTAGGAGATCATTCGACAAGAGCGTTATTTCCATCAGCATGTCTGTAATTAAGTTAAACAAAAATGAAGAAAGTGGACAGCCTTGATGGACACCACTTGAGGTTGCAAAAGTAGATGACAGTTCGCCATGAGCTCTGACTCGACTGGTAGTGTTCGAGTAAAGAGCCTTCACAAGGTTTATGTACTTCTGAGGTACGCCTTTCAATGACAGACACTGTCACAGAATCTCGCGGTCTACGGAGTCAAATGCTGCTTTTAAGTCAAGAAAGACCACCATTGTCGGACGACGATAAGTATGCCTGTGTTCTAGAACCTGACGTATGGTGAATATGTGGTCACGACCAAGTCTGAAGCCAGCCGGATTTTCTCGTGTTTGCAGTTCATGAGTTTTAGTTAGGCGCCCGATAATTATTGAGACTAGTATTTTAGATGCTATATTAGTTAAACTAACCCCTCTATGGTTGTCACAGGAAGATTTTGACCCCTTCTTATACATCGGGACAAACTGTGTGCATGTCAATATCCAAGTTAGACTCTTTCATACATATGTTATGATAGTTCTATTGTATGGAACTGAAACATGGAGA